GGCTGAGGTGGAAAGATCACTTGAGCCCAGCAGATTGAGACTCTGACAAGAAAGACAGAAGGAAAGACAGACAGAAAGATAGAAAGAAAGAGAGGGAAAAGGGAGGGAAGGAGAGGGAGAAGGAGGGAAGAAAGATGCCCCAAAGAATCCTTTACCCAAGCCGGTGGCTCAGCCTGTAATCCCGTGCCTTTGGGAGGCTGAGGTCAGTGGATTGCCTGAGCCCGAGGGTTCGAGACCTGCCTGGGCAGCGAGACCTCATCTCTACAATAAATCAAAAACTAGCCGGGTGTGGTAGCTCGCACCTGTAGTCCAGCTACTTGGAAGGCTGAGGCGGAAGGATCGCCGGAACCCAGCGGGTCGAGGTTGCGGTGGCCAGGAGCGGCCACTGCACTCCAGACTCCAACTCAAAAAAAAAAAAAAAAAAGAATCCTTTACCCTTCATCCATAAGGGGATATGGATGGGATGTCATTGCTGTGTTGTTTGTGGGGATGGGAAGTTGGAGGCGCCTGGGAGTCCATCCCCAAGGGAATAGAGAGGTAAATGTGGTGGCTGCACCCCATGGAGAACTAGCAGTGGAAGCAAAGAGTGAGGTGCTCATGTGGCAAAACACATGGGCCCTGAACCAGCAGGGAGTGGTCAAAGTAAACAACAGAATGAGATCTAAAACACACATCACTCATGTAAGCGAAAACTACCTGTATACAAAACAACAATATATAGTTAGCAATTATACATCCAAACAAGAAGATGCTCATTAAGCATATTCAGATGGCTACCTCTGGCTAGGGCGGATGATGGAGATAAGGGGAAAAATGAATACAAGAAGAGAGGAGGCCTTCATGGACCAGTGATGATAATGTACCACCAGGCAAGGAGTCCAGGGAACTCAGCCTTCTGGACTTGAGGCCCAACAAAGGAAAAACAAGTAAGGGCTGGGTGCGGTGGCTCAAGCCTGTAATCCCAGCACTCTGGGAGGCTGAGATGAGGGAATTTGCCTGAGCCCACAGGTTTGAGAGCAGCCTCGGCAACTTGGCGAGACTTTGTCTCTACAATAAATGAAAAATAAATATCTGGAAGTGGTAGCTCACGCCTGAAGTTCCAGCTACTTGGAAGGCTGAGGCGGAAGGATCACCTGAGCCCAGCGAGTTGACGCTGGGGTGACCATGAACATGCCACTGTACTTCAGCCTAGGCGATGGAGTGAGACTCCAACTAAAAAATAATAATAATAAAGAAAAACAAGTAAGGATCAGAGAGGTTAAGTAATTTGTCCCGATTACACAGCAGGTAAGGAAGGGTAGTGAGAAGTTCCAAATTACCAGGCCTACTTAGAGGAAGGCGGTAGCAGGTCACTTAAAACCACAAGCCTGGGCGGGCGCCGTGGCTCACGCCTATAATCCTAACACTTTGGGAGGCCGAGGCAGGAGGATTGCTTGAGCCTAGGAGTCCAAGACCAGTTTGGGTGACATAATGAGACCTCGTCTCTATAAAAATTTTTAAAAATTAGCTGGGTGTGATGGGGTGCATCTGTAGTCCCAGCTACTCGGGGGCCTGAGGCAGAAGGATCACGCACTCCAGCTTGTGCCAAACAGAGTGAGACTGAACTCAGAAAAAAAGGCCATTAGCTTTAACCTCAAGAGCGGAGAGGGCAGGAGGTGTAGAGGCTGTGAGTGTGTCGCAAGGTGTGGGGGTGGCCAGTGGGTGGTCCTGTGTTCCACTTTAGCCCTGAGTCTCACTGGCTTCATTGGCTTTCTTTTTTTTTTTTTTTGAGTTGGAGTCTCTCTGTCACCCAGACTGGAGTGCAGTGGCCACTCCCGGCCACCGCAGCCTCGACCCGCTGGGCTCCGGCGATCCTTCCGCCTCAGCCTTCCAAATAGCTGGAACTACAGGCACGTGCTACCACGCCCGGCTCATTGTGATTTTATTGTAGAGATGAGGTCTTGCCAAGTTGCCCAGGTAGGTCTCGAACCCGCGGGCTCAGGCAATCCACTCACTTCAGCCTCCCAAAGGCGCAGGATTACAGGCTGAGCCACCGAGCCTGGCTCAACGGCTTTCTTCATTCTTCCCAAACACCCACTGAGCACTGTGGGGTATGGACCACAGTCCTTATCTTCCAGGGACTTTGAAGGTGAAGAAAACGGGGTCATGACCAGAATTTGACAGGGAAGTTAGAAAGGGGGTGCTTCCAGGAGGCAGGATTGAATCAGAGTTGTCTAAAGTTTAGAAATTATAATTCACGCTACCTGCCACGTAGCAGACACTACTCTGAGTTCACAAAGTCCTCACAAAAAGTCTTTAAGGTAAATTTTTAATTTTATTTTTATTTTTTGAGTTGGAGTCGCACTCTGTTGCCCAGACTGGAGTGCAGTGGCACGCTCCCGACCACCGCAGCCTCAACCCGCTGGGCTCTGGTGATCCTTCCCCCTCAGACTTTCAAGTAGCCGGAACTATAGGTGCACACTACCACGCCCGGCTAAATTTTTTTGATTTGCTGTAGAGACAAGATCTTGCCAAATTGCTTGTTTGGGTCTTGAACCTGCAGGCTCAGGCAATCCACTGGTCTCAGCCTCCCAAAGTGCTGGGATTACAGGCTGAGCCACCGAGCCCAGCCTTATAGGTAATTTATATTAACGCCCCCGCTCTGCAGATTAGGAACTGAGGCACGGAGAGGTTAAGCAATTTGTACAAGTCACAAGGCTGAGAAAAGGCAGAGCTGGGATTCGAACCCAGAGAGAGTGTGTCCAGAGGTCATGATATTAACTATGATGCAACTTACAAATGAAAGAAGACAAATACAGCCTGTCTGGCCAGGCCTTCCTCAAGGAGATCTCCCAGCTCCTGCCCTCACTTGGAGTTCCCACAGTGAGAGTGGCATGGCCTGGCTGGGGACACTGCTGGCAGAGCCTAGTCCTATGGTTGTTCAGGGGATCCTTGCCCAAGGACTTCACGATGACTCAGTTTCCCCACCTCAATCATCCAAGATGGAGGGACCCAACATTCTCATGATACACATAAGGCCACTGAGGCCTGGAGAGGGGACAGGACTTGTCTCGGGCCATCCAGGTCTCCTGTCAACCAGTCCAGCACTTCACCCCCTCTGACTGAGAGAAAGCATAACATGTGCTAAGTCGTGGCTTCCTGGTCCTCCAGCCCCCGCCAGCCTCCTGGGATCCCTCTCGACAGCTCCTTCAGGCCCAGGACTGGGAGTCAAGCCACAATTCTCAGAGCCAGAGATGCAGCCACTTTCCCAGAATGCCGTGTTCCCGCCTTCTCTGCTTTCCAAGCAAGATCTCGTCTCCCCACAGCGCTTGGAGAGCCCTGGTCAGAGGCTTGGTCAGGGAGAGCCCTGATTGCTGCTGCTCCTTCTCCCTCCCTCCTGGTACCTCCCAGCATCCTTGGAAATTAGGGGTCATTACCCATCAAGGTGTGAGATCTAAGCACAGCAGCGCACAAGTCATCAACATCCCAACTTCCAAACTGCCTGTGGGCCCCAAAGTCCAGCCGTCACCAACAGTCAGTGCTGACACAGAGCCAGAAAGGAAACAAATAAGTCGGGCCAGCCCAACCCAGTAGGCAGAGGGCAGGAAGGTACCAGCTTGCTCTCTCCCTCTCCCCATGGCTACCTCACCCTCTCTCCACTGACTCCAGGGAGAAGCCCGTGTCCCCCCTACATGTGGGACTTTTGACACACCCCTAGGAGGTGCCTGCCACGTGTGGTGTTGGGAGATAGGACCCTAGAGAGGTGGGGAGCTGGTTTTTGAAGATGGGAACAGGGAAGCCCATTCAGCCACCCACCCATCAATCCAATTACCCACCCACACTTAATAGGTAATATTTATTCGGTGATTACTTGGTGCCAGGCACTGTCCTAAGTGTTTTGCCCAATGCTGTTAGGTAGGGACTTGTCTACCCATATAAGGAAACAAGCATAGAGAGGTCAATTAATTTGCCCAAAGCTGCACACTAGTAAAATGGTGGAAGCAGGAGTCAAGCTCAGGCAGTCTAACTCCTGGGCCTGCGATTCTGTTCTCCATGCCACAACCATCCACCATCTATCCATTTACTGACCATCCATACACCATCCACCCACTCACCCAGGCCACTCTCATTGAGTCATCTGTCTATCCTCCTGGCCATCTATCCTTTCCTCTCCTAACTTCCTATTCAAAACGGTCCCAGAGAAGGAACAGCATAGGCAAAGGCTCAGAGGAGAGAGAGCAGGGTATGTTTAAGAGTTTAGCTCCTGCAGAGAGAGTGGCAGAAAGATAGCAAGAGATGAGGTTAAGGAGCGAGCCAGCCCATCCATCCGTCATCTATCCACCAACCCATGCCATCCACCTACCCAACCACCCTCCCACTCCTCTGTCCATTTCTGCATTCATCTGTCCATCTATCCACTTTTTTTTTTAGTCGTAGTCTCACTCTGTTGCCCAGGCTGGATTCCAGTGGCACACAGTCTCAACCAGCTGGGCTCAGGCAATACTTCCCCCTCAGTCTTCCAAGTATAGGCACATGCAACCACACCAGGTTTGTTTTTTGATTTATTGTAGAGACAAGGTCTCACCAAGTTGCCCAGGCTGGTCTCGAATCCCTGAGCACAAGCAATTCTCTCGTCTCAGCCTCCCAAAGTGCTGGGATTAAAGGAAGGAGCTGCCGTGCCTGGCCATCTTTGTAATTTGGAGGACAGATAGATTAGATGGATAGATAGAGTGGAGAGATGGCAGGGCACATTTCCTTCCTGTCAGTGATTTCTTATGATATGTTGGGGCATGAGGGGAGGGGACATTAGGACTTCTAGAGGCACCTGAATAACTAGAATCATCTCTCTCCACTCACGCCACTGGTTTGCAGGTTCTAGGGCCTTGTGGGAAGAGGGGATAGCAGAGTGAACCAGTGTCAAGGCTAAAAGACCCTCCAAGGCCCTGAAAATTCAGCCCCCAGCCCTGACCCCATGGCCTGTTAGGAAGACAGAAGGAATTGTGTCATAGAGAGATGTCACAATGCCCCCTGCCCCACACAAGTTCCCCCCCATCTTGTACTCCCTGTATCCTCCCAAGAGTTCCTGGGAGCCACCGGAGCCCCTGACCACCGGAAGTTCCATCTCACCACCAAGGAAGGCCCTGATCAAGGATGTTCAAGGTGAGATGATGTTGTAGGGCTGGGCGGCCCTGGGTCACAAGAAAACTGGCAGGAAGGAGCATGAAGCCCCGGCTCGCCTGTGTGGCTGGGAGCTGGGCCCTTCTACAAAAGGCTTCCTGAGGTGCTAGTGCCGCTGCCTGACTCCTATTCCCCTACTGTGGGACCTCTGTGTGTCCCAGGGAAACAAGGAGAGAGGGAGCGGGACACCACCCAACTTCTCCGTGGTGTTTCCTGGACTGCTCAGTTTGCATTACCCCATCTCTAGGCAACTTGAGATGAGTAATCATCTTAGCTCAAGTTTACCACATGCACTTTACATGGAATCATTCAATAAATCCTCACAGGAATCCTAGGAGATAGATTATCTTGTTATTTCCCCTATTATTTATTTATTTAGAGTCGGGGTCTCACTCTGTTGCCCATGCTGGAGTGCAGTAGCAAGATCGCAGCTCATCACAACCTTGACTTCTTGGGATCAGGCGAGGCTTCCATCTCAGCCTTGCAAGTAGCTGGGACTTCAGGTGCCTGCCACCACACCCAGCCAATTTTTTATTTTATTGTAGAGATGAGGTCTTGCTATGTTGCCTAGGCTAGTCTCGAACTCCTGGGCTCAAGCGATTCTTCCTCCTCAGCCTCCCAAAGTGCTGGGATTACAGATGTATTCTTACTTTAGACTTGGGAAAATTGAGATACAGAGTTTTTTTTTTTGTTTGTTTGAGTTGGAGTCTCACTCTGTCGCCCAGACTGGAGTGCAGTGGCCGCTCCCGGCCACCGCAGCCTCGACCCACTGGGCTCCAGCGATCCTTCCGCCTCAGCCTTCCAAGTAGCTGGAACTATAAGCACGTGCTCCCACGCCTGGCTAATTTTTGATTTATTGTAGAGATGAGGTCTCGCCAAGTTGCCCAGGCAGGTCTCAAACCCGTGGGCTCAGGCAATCCACTCACCTCAGCCTCCCAAAGGCGCGGGATTACAGGCTGAGCCACCGAGCCCGGCTCGATACAGAGTATTATAACTTACCCAAAGGTTGGCAACTAGTGAGTAGGGGAGCTGGACTTGAACCTCGGGTAGCTGGCTCCAGGGCCCCACTCGTGGCCTCCCTGTCCACTCCCGTCAGAGCCTCTCTGCCCAATCTCAGGCAAACATACTTTCCTAAAGGTTCAGATGAGCGTGTGCAAAACCCCATGTGACTGCTGGATGAGGTTGACCATGATTTTGCCTTTGGCAGTTCCCATAATGCACTGCACCCCCAGAGCAAACCAGTGAGGTAGATAGACTCATTATCTCCATTTTCCAGATGAGGCCACAAGCCCAGTCAGGCCCCAGGCCCTGAGCTCAGCCCTTCATACCTTCCAACTTCTGAAGTCCAGGTACATTCCACAGCAGCAGGAGTCCTGGGGTGCTATTTGCATTTCAGCTAGGCTCAGGCCTTCCACCCAAGGGTCAGGAGGTTCGGTAGAATTTCAGGTTTGAGCAAGGCTAGCCCATGTGCCTATGGGCCTGCAGGATTTGAGAGGACAGGGTGCCATCCTAGAAGACTTGTAGCAATATCACGGGTGAGGTCTTGCCCTGCTCAGAAAGTCTCACTCCTGGGTCTTCTTCCCCATTCTAAACCCTGGATAAGGAAAAAGCATGTATTAAGAGATGTGTATTTTTTTTTTGAGTTGGAGTCTTACTCCGTCGCCCAGACTGGAGTGCAGTGGCTTCTCCCAGCCACCACAGCCTCGACCTGCTGGGCTCCAGCGATCCTTCCGCCTCAGCCTTCCAAGTAGCCGGAACTATAGGTGCGCGCTACCACGCCCGGCTCATTTTTGATTTATTGTAGAGATGAGGTCTTGCCAAGTTGCCCAGGCGGGTCTCGCACCCGCGGGCTCAGGCAATCCACTCACCTCAGCCTCCCAAAGGCGCGGGATTACAGGCTGAGCCACTGAGCCCGGCTGAGATGTGTATTTCTAAGAGGACTTGGTGGGGTCTGCCTGCGAGGATTGGGGGCAAGGAAGTTCTCCTTCTTCTGGTTGTAGCTTAAACTCCAAATGAAAACAGGGTAGTGGGATTCCAAGTGGAGGGATGGGGCCGGTGAGACCCTTTCCTTGCCTTGTGAGCTTCATAGCATCCCTGAGGGAAGCAGGTAGGAGGAATGGGGGCGTCTTCCCGCCACCTGTAAACCAGGGTTTCTCAACCTTGATGCTTTTGACATTATGTGCTGATAATTCTGTTGTGTGCATTGCAAGATGTTTAAGAGCCTCCTGGATCTCTTTATTTATTTTTTTTTTTTTGAGTTGGAGTCTCACTCTGCCGCTCAGACTGGAGTGCAGTGGCCACTCCCGGCCACCACAGCCTCGACCTGCTGGGCTCCGGCGATCTTTCCGCCTCAGCCTTCCAAGTAGCCGGAACTACAGGCACGTGCTACCATGCCCAGCTAATTTTTGATTTATTGTAGAGATGAGGTCTCGCCAAGTTGCCCAGGCAGGTCTCAAACCCGTGGCCTCAGACAATCCACTCACCTCAGCCTCCCAAGGCGCGGGATTACAGGCTGAGCCACCGAGCCCGGCTGCCTCCTGGATCTCTACCTGCTAGAAGCCAGTAGCAATCCTCGTCACCCACCCTCCAAAAGTCTCCAAACATTGCCAAACGTCTTATGGGGAAGAAAAGATCACCTCCAATTGAGAACCACAGATCTAAAGACACACACACACACACACACACACACACACACACACACACACACACACACTGCACTTGACAGGGTTGTGAGAAGGGAGGAAATGGTTAAATGAAACCAGATGTTAACCTGGAAACTATGCAGTCAGGCCCCACCCTCCACCAGAGCTGGCTGTGCTGGGCCCTGGGGAGGGGACAGGGTGTTCTCAGCCCTCTGAGGTTAGTCACTTGGAGCCTGGCTTGGTCCCTAGAAAGGGCAGGGTAAGGCTAAGGCCGCCTGGGCTCCCTCTTCCTCTTCCTCCTCTTCCTCCTCCCTTGCCTCCTGGCTCTGTCCTGGGACTGTCCCTCTGCCCCAGTTTCGGTGAAGGTCTCATACCCTACCCCTTCCTCCACCGGGGCCTTGCATGTTGCAGCAGCAACATCTTAGGCATTGTTGACCTGTAGACCCAAGGCAGGTGGGCCCAAACCAGCTTCTGGGCTGGGGCAGAGAGGGAAGGGAGAGTTGGAATCCTGGTTCCTGCACTCACTAGTTGTGGGACTTCTGCAAGGTACTCACACGTTATCTCACAAACTATGTCAACTTAGACAAATGTTTAGATGCCTCAGTTTCCTTATCTGAAAAATGGGGGTAACATCTCAAGTGGCTTTTAGGAGCCTTCGAAGAGCTGAGTGGTTAGAGTCTGGCACTCGGTCAATGCTCAGTTCCCCGAGCCATTCTGTAACCCTTGGCCTGGCACCCCTGGCACCCATCCCCTTGACTCAAGGCAAAGTGCCTCAGTGGCCAAGGGGCTGATACAGCCTGAGACGAAAGGTTTGGCTGGGGAGCCAGGGTGGATGGGGCTTGGGCCTCTGCAGTTTCTTCATCTTCATGGCCACAGGCTGAGCCCATCCTGTGTCAGGAGGACCAGAATCCACATCCTCAGAATCCCCCTAAACATGAAGAAATCCAAGCCACCACTTGCAGCCCAAGAAAAGGATAATTCCATGAGCCAGGCTGTCAGCCCCAGCTGACACCCTGAGTGTGTTGTCCTGTCTGTGCAGGGTTCAAGAACCCAGAACCCAAATCCAGCAGTACAAACCCCACAGTGTCCTGGCCAAACTAGGAGCTCTGGCTACCTCACCCTCCAGCGAGGCCGGGTGCTGTACAGGGCAGCCTTGACCAATCACTGCTGCCTAGCACACCCATGGAAGCTGAGCAGGCTGACAGAATGAGGGCAGAAATTAATGAAGTTGAACAGGCCCCTGGCAGGCCCAGCTCCCTCAGGGCAGTAGGCACAAGACACATCATGGAGCCCAGGGTGTGGACAGACCTGGGTTCAAATTCCAGCTTTGAACCTTCCAGTCACATGACCCTGAATATGTGACTAACCCTTTTACTTCAGTTTTTTCATTCATGTGTGTTTTTTGGTTTTTTTTTTTTTGAGTTGGGTCGCCCAGGCTAGAGCTCACTGTAGCCTCGACTTCCTGGGCTCAGGGGATCCTTCTGCCTCAGCCTACTTGTAAGCACGTGCCACCACACTCGGCTAATTTTTAATTTTTTTTGTAGAGACAAGGTCTTGCTATGTTGCCCAGGCTGTTATTTTTCCCACACCTGACCTCAAAGTGATCCTCCCACCTTGGCCTCCCAAAGTGCTGGGATTATGGGTGTAAACCACCATACCTGGCCAGTTTTTTTCAATTATAAAAGGGGCCAATAATGGTAATACCTTCCTCAAAGGGTTAATGTGAGGATTAGAAGAGATAATTCACTTAAAGTGTTTGGTGAGGTGCTCATGAGCAGTGGTGGAAACAATCTTTGATGACCACTGTCACAGTTCATTTCTGGCACTTGCCCCCAACCTGTGATCTCCTGGGCTGGGGGGCTGAGCCTGGAAGAGTCTGGAAAGGCTGCAGATCCCTTGTTCTCCCCTGCGTGCAACGTGGCCATGCGCCAACACCGGGGCAAGCCCCAGGGACACGGAGATGCACAGGACATGCTCCTGAGTGCTGGGAGCCACTGACAGCTGACTCTGGGACTTTGACAAAGAGCTAGAAGGAGACAAAACTGAAGGAGGCCGTCCCAGTGTGCCCACTCCTGACTCAGTTCCTCCCAGCCCAGGAGCACGTCCGGAGTTTAGAAGGCACAGAAGAGGGCCAGTAGGGGTAGGGGCTGCAGGAGATATCAGAGATTTCTGGAGAAGATGTTGAGAGAGCTCCTGGGCTTGGAAGAAGAGGAAGAATTTTACAAAGCAAAACTGAGGTCACATATATACCTGGGTAGAAACCAATGGGAGTAGAGACTGCCTTAGCAGAGAGCCCTGGACAAGATTTGTGACTTAAACACAAGGAACTACTTGGTAACTTGAGCCCCTGGGGCAAGAACTCAACATTCGCTCCTCACTCTGTAGCCGAGGGTTCTCTTGCAGGGCCCAGAGGCCAGCTGGGCAGGGACGAAATGGGCTTCCCCAGAACAGCTGAAACCTGGGGGGGCAGAATGGAGACGCACACACAAGGTGGAAGATCGCCTACAGACACCTCATCCTTCGGGTGGTATTGTCATGGCTATGCTGGTCCCAAGTAAAACAGACAGATAGTACCTGGGAGATGGTGTGGGGGTTCCCAGGAGAACTGTCTGCCACAGGATAGTCAAGAAGGGTAGTGTCCTGACTTGAGCACTATGTAATGTATGCATATAACAAAATTACACTTGTACCCCGTCATTTAAAAAGTGGGTAGTAACAGGAATCAATAAATGTCAGTATGCTGTGATAAATGTAGGGGGCTCCTAGACAGGGGATAGACCCCCAATACATGACCCCCCAAAGAGTGGTGGTTCAAGGGAGGCAGGTACTGGTAAGTAGAAGGCAGAGGTGGTGGTAACAATGAGATGTTCTAAAATAGAATGCGCTGGCTGTGGAAGATGAGCTTTGTTAGAATTCAGTTCATTTGGCCAACATTTATTGAGCATTCTCTAAATGCCTCGGACTGAAGTCAAAGAGGAAATCAGATTTTGGAGGCTATTATGTCAAGGCTAAGGGTGTGAGACCGTTGCCCTTAAGAAGCTCCCAGTCTTATTAGAAAGACATGTCCCTAGTGAATAGGAGGGAGGGAATGTGAGGCCCAGGAAATGCCCAAGTCAAGGCATGGGGCCCTGGATGTACCAGGTGTCACCCCAAGGGATAAGAGGTAGACCACCATGGCTGGAATCCAGGGTGGGTGGAAGGATGGTAGGACTGGAGAGGTGAAGCCACATCCTTAAAGGTCTTACATTTCAGGCGAGGGGCTTTGGGCTTTCCCTTCCAGGAAATAGAGAGCAAAGGATGCTTTGAGGAGGAGAGTCAAGCGACCTGGCTGTTAATATAGAAGGATTCGTTCTGGTGTGCATGTGAGGCACGGTTGACCCAACGATGTATTGAGTGTTCTCTAAATGCCTTGATCTGGAGTTGAATTTTGGAGGCTGTGAAAAAGCAGGAAGCCGGGCTCGGTGGCTCAGCCTGTAATCCCACGCCTTTGGGAGGCTGAGGTGAGTGGATTGCCTGAGCCTGCGGGTTCAAGACCCACCTGGGCAGCGAGATCTCTACAATAAATCAAAAAATCAGCTGGGCGTGGTAGCACACGCCTGTAGTTCCAGCTACTTGGAAGGCTGAGGTGGAAGGATCGCCAGAGCCCAGCAGGTGGAGGCTGCAGTGGCCGGGAGCAACCCCGACCCTCTGGTCTGGGCGACAGAGTGAGACTCCAACTCAAATAAAAAAAAAAAGAAAAGAAAAAGCAGGAGAGTGGTAGGCAGGAAGACTTGATGGAAAGCTGAAATGGCCCTGTGGGAGAGAGAGGATGAAGTCCTGATCCAGTAGCAGCAGAGGAGAGGGAGAGAAGGGTCAGACAGGAGCCACGCAGAGGGCAGTGACAGACAGATGGGGAAGAGGAGGACCTGAAGACACCCCCAGGTTCCCAGCCTCTGTGAGCCAGTGGCTGCCTCTTAACAGGATGGCAAGGGGCAGGGGACCGCGAAGGCTCTCCCTTGCCCTGGGGTTCCTCGGCTCCATGGCCAACAGAGTGGAACTCCAGGATGGCTCTGGGGTCTTCTGAGCCGTAGCTCTTCCCTTCCCTCCTGCCCCTGGCCTAGCAGCTGAAGTCCCAGTGTCCAGTGCCTCAATTCTGCCTTTCTTTCCCTCCTCTCAGGACTCACAGAAACCCTCTGGACCCAGCCATGGGCTCAAGACACCATCGTGCAAAAAGGCGAAGTCTCCGCACCCACCTCTTTCCCGGACGTGGAAGCAGGACCGCGAGCAGTCTCTGGCAGCAGCCTATATCCCGGTCGTGGTGGACCCCAGGGGGCAGAGCCTAGACAAGCTCAGGTTCAATTTTTATACCTCCCAGCACCCCAACTCCTTGAACCCCTTCTACACCTTGCAGAAACCTACCTGTGGCTACCTGTACCGCCGGGACACTGACCACACCCGCAAGTGTTTCGATGTGCCACCTGCCAACCTGGTCTTGTGGCACTCCTAGACCGGTGCCAACCAGAAGCCCCCCACCCTGCACCCTCACCCCTGTGGCCCTGGGCCCCAGAGGGGAAGGGCTGCTGGCTCCAGGAGAGGGGCCTTGTACCCATGCTCACCTGTGGACAATGACAAAGGGAGGTCTCTCTTCTCAGCGGCAATTAAAGTCTGTCCTTCCTTTCTCTACATCTGAATGTGTGACTGTTGGTGGGTGAGCTGAGGCCTCAAGGTTATGTCCAGAGGTGCCTGAAGCTTTGGAAGGGCCTGATTCTCAGTTTCCTTACCCCAGAAGTAGCCCAAGCCCTCTCTGGGGCCTGAACCCTAAGCAAAGCTAGTGCTGGCCGCAGACTCCCCATGGTCCAGGCCTGGTCCCCTCCAAAGATGAAAAAGAGATCCATCAGCCGGGCTCGGTGGCTCAGTCAGTAATCCCGCCCTTTGGAGGCTGAGGTGAGTGAATTGCCTGAGCCTGCGGGTTCGAGACCCGCCTGGGCAACTTGGCGAGACCTCATCTCTACAATAAATAAAAAAATTA